TTCCCCACCCCCCAGGGTGCTATGTGAGACAGTGAAAGCCTTTGTGGACCGAGTGAGCAAGTCGCATGACCTGAGAGGGGAAGGAGAGAAGGAGGAAGATGCGGGGATGGGCATGCAGTTCGACGTCCTCAACGAGAAGCTGCAGAGTCTGCTCAACACTCTGCACAAAGAGGCGGAGGAGTCAAAGGTGAATGGGTGGGTGGTTGGTGGGTGCTGTGGTGTTGTGTGGGGATCTGCTCCTTCTTTCCTATCATACATTTGGTCGATTTTAAGGACGAGCATGCTAACCCAGATTTCGGGGGTTTAACCACAAATCTTGACCAACACAAAAAGTGGTCATTGCCCTACCTATAGGAGAAGTTTGGTTTTATTGGTGTGTAGTATATTTGTTTGGTTATAGAGAAAACTCTACTTATCTTTTAAAGAAAATGAACTAGGGGCAAAAACTTTACCTTCGATTTTCTCAAAACAGCATTTTTAGGTCAAGATTTCTGGAAAACCCCGAAATCTGGGTTAGCCCGCTTGTCCGTAAAAGCGACCAAATGTCAAATAGATATTTTTCCTTGCCTATTTCATGAAAGCTGATTACACTCACACGTCGTCGTTTTGTTTTTGGAGACAAGTGAAATGTGACTTTGTACTATTTCCTGGACTTGTTCATATTGGAGTTGTTCTGTTTTCAGTGTAAAAGGCACGACATTGCAGCAAATATTCATATAAGTTTGTGTGCTTTGGTTTTTCAACCATAGGGTTCCATCAATTATTGATTACCAGATGGTGATGTTCGTTAGTACACTTTCGTAAAGACTAGATCTATGACATTTATCATATAAAGATAATGCCCCAGGGAATGAAATGAATAGTATCGAGCATTTACAGCCCATCTGTAGACAAATAGGATGTTACTGAGATCTTTTTCTGGTGCAATGTTGTGGGCTTTTTATGACGAACACCTGAAGGTGTGTGTGTGTGTGTGTTTCTGTCTGTCTGCCTGTGTGTGTGTTTGTGTGTGTCTCTGTGTCTGCGTGCACGCATGCATATGTAGATGTGTGTGTGAGTGTGTGCATATATAATATATGTGTGTGTGTGTACATGCCTATGTGTGTGTGTGTGTATGTTTGTGCTTGTGTGAGTGTGTATATGTGATTTTTTGGATTTTTTTTTCAACAGCTGTAGCTATTTGTTCTAACACTAATTCATTTTGTTACTTCCGAACTTATGGGTGGTTGGCGGGTGCTCTGGTGTGGTTTGCTTCTTCTTTCCTATCAAACATCTGTCGTCTTTATCTCCCCTTCTTCTTTTTGTGTTTGTTACTCTCTTGTAACCCCTCTAATCTTCGGCACTTATATGACCTTAATGTGTTGCAAGTGCCGTAAAACACTTACTAAAACTTTTTTTAAACTTCCGAACTTGGAACAGAATATAGAGGAGAAGAACGAGAAGCATGAGTTTGAGGAGAAGGAAGTGATGGCGGTGGTTGAACCAATCAGAGCGGAGCCTGTGGAGAACAACGGTGCCGCCCCGTGCCCAGTTCCCTCGGCTCCCATCAAGCCGCGCCTGGTGAGTGGGTGGTTGGCGGGTGCTCTGGTGTGGTTTGCTCCTTCTTTCTTATCAAACAATTATTGTCTTTATCTCTCTTCCTTCGTGGGTGGTTGGCGGGCGGGTACTCTGGTGTGGTTTGCTCCTTCTTTCCTATCAAACAATTATCTTCTTTATCCCTCCTCCTGCTTTTTTATGTTTGTTACTCTCTAGTAACACCTCTAATCCGGGACTTATCATATGACCTTATTCTGTTGCAAGTGCCGTAAAACACTTACTTTTTTTTTAAAAACAGCTGGTGAGGTTGCCTAGCTCAGAAAAGTGTTCCCTCGTCATTGTTAACTTTTGTTCTGAGTGCTGTATTAATAGTTGTAAACCACATGGAGTTTTGAGTGTGGTTGACAGGTGTGCTTTGGTGTGATTTGCTCCTTCTTTCCTATCAAAGATCTGTCGTCCTGATCTCTCCTCCTTCTATTTTGTGTTTGTTACTCTCTTGTAACACCTCTAATCTTCGGCACTTATATGACCTTATTGTGTTGCAAGTGCCTAACAACTCTTACTAAAACTAAAACTAAAATCTGTGTACCTGTGTTCTCCGCAGGCGTTCAAGTCCCGCGAAGCTCTCATGTCACGAGCCAATAGCCTGAAGAAAGCCGTGCGACAGATCATCGAACACACTGAGAGAGGTAGGTTGATGAACCAACTCTTTTGTCTACAAACCTTGCCCGCATAATTGGTCGCTTTTAAGGACAAGCGGGCTAACCCAGATTTTGGGAGTGTCTAGAAATCTTTTCCTACACCAAAAGTGGGCATTGCCCCTACCTATAGGGGACGTTTGGTTTCTTTGGTGTGTATATTTGTTTGGTGATAGAGAAAACTTTCCTTGTCTTTTAAAGAAACTGAACAAGGGTCCAAAAATTTTACCTTCGATTTTCTCCAAACTGATTTTTTCGGGATAGCCCGCTTGTGCTTAAAAGTGACCAATTAGTTTAATCGTTATTCTGGTTGCTCATTGCGGATGGGTTCGGGCCGGGTAGGGTCGGGTCGGGATGATCGACCGACTCGTCACCTGAAAACAAATGCGTTGTATCTTCTTTTGTACACCTTGCCAGCAAGGGAACCATTTTCAGGTCTCCAGACGCTATGTAGGTTGAAAACATATGTTAAGAAATTC